CTAAAAATATGTATTTAATTTTTTATGAATATAGGATTTTTTTTAGGTTGTTTCACTCATCTTGGTTGAGTTTTAGCAACTTTTAGTTTTCAAGGAATTGGTTCATTTCCTCATAGCTTTCAAAAGTTATCAGTCTAAAGCTGTTTGTAGCCGCCCTTTTTATGGCCAGCACAGCTATATGACAATCTCTTCTGTTCGTGATTGGTGATTTGTGTCTTCTCTCTTCATCCTTGTTGGTCTTATTAGATGTTTATTAAATTCATTGATTTTCTCAAAGAATTCGGTTTTTGTTTTGTTAATTTTTAAATTGTTTCGTTTTCACTTCATTGCTTTTTCTTACCATTTTTATTTCCTTCTTCTTGCATGGCTTATGTCCTTCTTTTCCTAGTTTCTTGAACATAACTTATTCATTTACAATATTTCCTCTTGTCTAGGCAGCATTCAGTGCTAGAAGTTTCTCTTTGGCACTGCTTCAGTGGCAACTCCAGGTTTTCATGTTATCTAAATATTATATTATATTATATTTATAATTTAATATCGTAATATATTTGTTTTCTTTTGTTCCCTCTTTTCTTGTTTTACTTTTATTAACTTGTGGGTTATGTGAACATTGTTTAGCATTCCACTTTGACTAAGTTTTTTAGTATAATTTTATGAGTGGCCACACAAATGTGCATACTTTATCGGTGTATGATTCAAGTGACATGTAGAAACCTTACTTCCCTTCACCTTCATATTTTTGGGATATAACTACCTAAAGCATTTCTGAATTATGGGGGTCAGACCCAGGGGCACTCTGCCACTGAAGTAGAAGTACAACCTCATCCTTTAAATTTTTTTTCTTTTGAGACAGGGTCTCACTAAGTTACCCAGCTTGGCCTCAAACTTGTGGTCCTCCTGCCTCAGCCTCTCAAGTAGCTAGAATTTTAGGTATGCACCATCATGCTCAGCTTTAAAGTGTTTCTTGTGAATATCCTGATAACATCAGGTGGTGTTACAATTTTTACTTCATCCATCAAGAGTAATTTTTGAAACTCATGAAAACAGGATAATCTATTATTTTTACCCATTCTGTGGTCCTTTTTTCTGAAGTTCCCAAACTTTCTCCTGTTATCATTTCCCTTTTGGCTAGAGACTTTCAGTCTTTCTTTAAGGGTAGGGTCTGCCAGAGACAAATTCGTGTGCTTTTTTGTTTTGTTTTGTTTTTTGTGGTTGCTGTTGTTTTGTACCAGGGATCAAACTCGGGACCTTGTGCTTGCGAGGCAGGCAATAGAACCACTGAGCTAAATCAAAGCCAAATTCTTAGTTTTGCTTCATCTATGATGATGTTTTTACTTCTTTTCTGAAAGATGTGTTCATCAGATGTGCAATTTGTGATTGACAATTCTTTGCTTTCAGTGCTTGAAAAATGTTCCATTTCTTCTGGTCTCCACAGTATGAGCTGTCCTTTGAATTGGTGGTGTTCCCTGTAAGTGATGTCTCACTAGCTGCTTTCAAGATTCCTCTCTCTCTCTCTCTCTCTCTCTCTCTCTCTCTCTCTCTCTCTCTCTCTCTCCCTTCCTTCCTTTCCTCCTTCATTCCTAGTTTAGCTCTCAGAAGGTTAATAATGATGGTATAGATTTCCTTGTGTTCATGCTATTTGAAGTTCACTCAGCTTTCTTAATCTATAAATTTGTCTTTTGCCACACTGAGGACAATTCCAGCTGTTCTTTTTTGGTACATGTTAGGTATACAGTACAGTTACATTCATCATCGGGATCTTGTACCTTTACATGACAGGTCTTGGTTCTCATTTTTTCCCCTTATCCCTGCCCTCCCTTCACCCCCCTCCTCCCCTCCCCGTAGCTGTTCTTTCTTTAAACTAACTTTTAAATTTTTAAACTTTTATTAGTACATGTTTGCAGTACATTAGTTGTGGGAAATTGGCATATGTACATAACACATCTCATTTCTTTTATTTCTTCTTACCCTTCATCCCCCTTTTTTGCCAACATCAGATTCATTTATTTATAAGTAAGTCCTTATAAAGTTAACCCTCATACATACAGATTAGCAGCCAGATGGATGGGCCAAAAACCTATAAAACACATAAGACAATTATAATAAATCAAGGTACATGTTTTAGTTATATGCCCATGCTGGATAACAATTATTTTTTTCTCTTTCTTTCTCCCTTTTGCCTGTCTTTTGTCTTGCAATTTATACATTGAGTTTCTCATATAAAAGAAACGATGTGATATTGAACTTGTGTGTCTGAGTTACTTCACCGAACACTGTGGTTTCAAGGTGCATCCATTTTCCTACAGAGGACTCAAGTTTATTCTTCTTTGTGGCAGAGTAATACTCCATTGTGTATAAATACATTTTCTTTATCCATTCATCTGTTGATAGACATATAGGCTGTTTCCAAGACTTAGCTGTAAATCTTTTAGCTGCTATAAGCATGGGTATGCATACATTACTGTGATAGAATGTCTTTAACTCTTCTGGGAAGATATCTAGAAGCGGGATAGCTAGATTAAATGGAATTTCTAACTTTAGCTTTTTGAGGAATCTCCATACTGATTTCCATACTAGTTTATTCTCCAGCAGTGAAGAAGGATTTCTTTTTCCCCTACAACCTCTCCAGCATTTGTTACTGGTTGGTTTCTTGATGGTAGCCATTCTTTCTGGAGTGAGATGTAATCTCAGTATTGTTTCAATTTGCGTTTCTTAAACGGCCAGTAATAAACTAACTTTTAAGCACATTTTAAATTTGAGAAAAACTGTTCCAGAATAGGGTTCAGGGGTTCAAGAAACCCTCAAATGGTATACAAAGTACTATAAGGTGTTCATTGTTTCCTAGGAGGGCACTGACAGCTTTTGCTGGATATTGGGGGCTGATGACCACCTGACCAAGGGTACAGTGGAGGATGAAAGAATAAGACAGATAGAGAGAAAGGACTGTTTTTATGGAGGTCCAGAATGTCCTAAGTTCTTATAAGCTAAGACCAAAAATCTCCAGACTTGTCAGTATTTATTGATTATACAACAGCCGGGGGCATGAAGGCAAACGCAGGGGACAGTGGGGTGTGGGGGGGTGGCAGGTGCTGAGGAGAACCAGGCTTATAAAATGCGAGGACTGATGCATTCCTGCAAGAGACGGGTTGTAATTAACACGTGACCTGTGTTTTCTTTAGCTAATGTTTGCTCTGGGAGAATGGCTGTTAAGAGTCCTAAAATCCTCAGCCACTGTGTCGTCTTGCCATCAGAGGCATCGATCATTGAGATCTCAGTTGTGACCATCAGCATAGGGAATTCTGTTTCTGGATGCCAGCCGAACATTCAGCGAGCAAGTCACATGGGCCTAGGACAGACTCACAATTTAATCAATAGCCAATTTATAAGCCAATTCAATAATATTTTAATGCCCTTGCTCAGCACATTTTCAAGCCGGTTTCCTGAACTGTATTCTCAGAAGATCCCACGCCGTTTGCCGTACGTTTTCTAGAAGCATTGGTTTATGGCCTTATTGTGTTACTTTTGGTCTTCTCAGTTAAAACCAGTAAGAAACTGCTGGGTGTCCTTTCCTTCCTTGTACCACAGCTATTGAGTTCCTGTGGCCCAAAGATCTCCCTGGCAGCTTTGGAAAGTGTGACCAGTTAACTAAAGAGTTTCTAAGTGCCTAATTTGTGCCAGAGATTTTTTTTTTTTCCTCGTTTCTCCCTAATTAGTGAGAAGGGGAAGAGTTAAAAATTAACATCATTCTTTGGCTTATGAAAAATTCAGACTAAGACTGCTAGAGTAAACTAAGCTGCTTTGTCCTTTAAAATCTATTTTTGATACTCTGAACTGCAAACTCCAGTGGTCAAATTATATCCCTGAAGGCACAGGCCATGTGCTAGGACCACACATGACACAGTCCCCCTGCCATTGCTTTGCTCTGCCTGGCACAGTTGGGGATCAGAGCTCACTATGTTCCCCAAGCAGGCGTGGCCCCAGATAGTGCCCAAGCTCATGCCTCTGCCTAGCACACTGTCCTCCTCTGTCAGTGCCTGCCTGGACTAACTTCTCTGGGAAGCCTGCATTGTCCCCTCCCCAGCACTGAGAGGAACACTGACGTGGATGTTCTTCCAGTGTTACTCATGCTCCAGGACATCACACTTTTTGCTGATGGCTTACTTGTCCCTCATGTTAGACAATGAGACTGTTACTTAATCTTGGTTGCCTTATGCCCCCATAGTACTGTACTCTCAAAAATACAGTGACAGCTGCACACTGAAGTGCATGACTGTAATCCCAGCACTGAGGAGGCTAAAGTAGGAGATCACCATGGGTTTGAGGCCAGCCTGGTCTGTACGGTGAGACCTTGTCTCTTTCCCTGTATACTAAGACCTGCACATAAGCACTGACTAGTCAGAGGTCACCCCTGGCAGCTGACTGTGAGCCCTTCTTCCATTTCTTCCTTAATGTCATAAATATTTGTCAAGCTTCTTCATCTACAGTTGTAGAAACCAGGTGTTCAGCCCATTCCCTGGCAAGTTTAATCTTCCTGCATTCTCACAAAAATCTGTTTATTCACTTGTCTTTAGACTCTCTGAGGAGTAACACAAAGGTTACTGGTCTTCTCCTGCTAAAGGCCTCCAACAACCTTGACCTTTGCCTTTTTCTTCTGCCTTACTGCTGGATCTTATGAACCTCTTCCTGCATTCCCATTTGTAAGGGCTCTTTCCTATCAGAATATAAGCTCCTTCACACAAGGATGTGTCTTTTCCGACCTAGACTCTCCAAGGACTGTGATAAGGCAGCATTACATGAATGTTGGAGGAAGAACTCCGATATCAGATCACCATAGCTCTACTGTCCATTACGATCAGAACCAATATTTCCTCCTCTCCTCTACATCTTTACTTCCTATGTATCTTTTATCCTTCATTCAAAGCCACTATGAATTATGTTTTTAAAGATAAATGAGTAGAAAAAGGCAACACATTTTAAAGTAATTTTGTTATTCTCCTCAGGTACTATCTTGGTCGTCGGATGCATATTGTTATTTCTGACCCAGATATGATCAAGCAGGTGTTGGTTGAGAACTTCAGTAACTTTACCAACAGAATGGTATGTAGTTTTCTCGGTGTATATTTTTAAAAGTTTTTTACTGGTACATGTTTGTAGTATATAGTTATTACATTCATCACGGGGAGTTGGCAGATGTACATAGTACATCTTAATTCTTTTTACTTCTCTCTTCCTCTCTGTCTCCCTTCCCTCTTTCTTTGAATCCCTTTGCAAAAGGTCTCTCTCCCTTATTCCTATTATCCTATCCTTTATTTTGCTCTTTAAATTAGGTGGACTTTGAGTTTCTCTTATAAAAGAAACCCTGGGTATTTAAACTGTTTGATTTATTTCACTTAACATTATGGTCTTACAGTGCATTCATTTTCCTGCAATGATTCAAGTTTATCTTTCTTTAGCAGAGTAGTGCTCCATTGTGTACTGCATCTCTGCATATGAATGGTGTGGGGGCCATTCTAAGATGAAAGGACTCTATGACAGACTGGATAGGGATATGATGGGGCCTTTTATTGGGTCAAGGTCAGTTCTACTAAAAACTAAGCTCCCCAGTGAACTTGGATTTAGAAAGAGAGTGTGCAGAACTGCTATAGAAAAGTAGCATTTACATTTACAAACCACTTCCAGAAAGCCAAATGCAAGAGAAGTTGAGACTAACAAAAACACTAAAACCAGGAAGGTTTTTCTAAAGCTGTGCTCAAAAGTAGAAGAATCCAGAGGGTGTGAATCAAGTGACTGAGGATTCTGAGCAATTAAAAGAGGATACTGAGTAAATAAAAGCAGGGAAGGAAAATTTCAAGGGTCTTGTGCCTATATTGTTTGATATAAAAGTCTATAAAGAAGTATCAGAAAGTATAAAAGTATCAAGATCAGAAAAGCAAGATAAACGACTTTAGCAGGAAAGTTTGTCCCCAGGTAACCCCTATTAGTTCTATTCTCCAGCCTATATACCCCATCATTTTTGGAAAGTACAAAGTACTTTAAAAGCATCCTTCTTTTTAATCTTTGATGAAAAATCTCAAAAAATTGGACAGAAAATGGCAGAGGTCAGTGTTGTTCGTATTCCCAAAAAATGTGATGATAGGAATTCTAGCAGAGAAGACCAACAATTTTTATGTTGATGCCTGGAAAAAGTCTAAAGTGAATTAGTAAACAGAAGCTTGTAAGAATCTAGACAATTCTGTGCCAACCATTTTGGGGCAAGTGTCAAATGAAACCTCATTTCCCATTTTTATAGGGTTAGTAGGTAATGTACTCATTCTTCTGTTGATTACTTGGCGAACTTTTTGCACATCTGCCATCAGCCAGGCAGGGTCTTGGTGCTGACTGTAAAGACAGAGAAGATGCCATCATGCCCGCAAGGAACTCATGGGTAATGAGCCGGGCAGGCTGGTAATTCATTCACCAGAGACCAGCACAGCACAGCACAGCATAGCGAGGATCCTGCAGTGGGAGTTTGAGCCATCCAGAGCACACATGGGGAAAGCTTTCTGGATGCGAGATATCTGGGGCTGAGTCTTAAACTGCATTCTGTACTGGTAGAGCCATGCAGAGGGTTTTGTTAGCTTCGCTATCTGCTTTTGTCTTTGTTCTTCATCATCACAAGAACTTAAGAGACTGATAACATTAGTGTCTCCATTTCACAAAGAAACTAAGGTTTAGAGCAGTTCAGTGACCGACTTTGGTCACTCACCCAACTTGAAGAATGGCAAACATGTGCATGCTATCACCTTCAGATCGAATCTAGTGCTCTTTCTGCTGCGCTGCTAGAAATGGCTGCTCTAGATGATATTTCTAGGTGTCCAGTTTAATCAACTAATTGACTACTCATCCAAAATATGCTCATTCTCCAACCCAGAGCATCATGCCCAGTTCCAGATACCACATGGCATCAGAAGGACGTGACCGTGAGCCTATCCTGATGCCTCCATCCCCCTGGAATGGGCAAAGGAAACGCAGACATTTAACTCTTTCTCTGTGGCCTTTAGATTCACTTCCCGAACACTGTGACATTATTTCCCTGTTCAAAAATGCCCGGGGCCAGGGATTCAGCTCGGTGGTTCTGCCTGCCTTGCAAGCACAAGGACCAGAGTTCGATCCCTGGTACAAAAAAAAAAAAAAAGACCCCCGAAGGCCTACTGTCCTGCTGAGATCTTGGAGACTGAGTCTTCCCACCCAGTGTCTATTGTCCACACTGTCAGCAACGGGTGTTGATTAAAGAAGTGGTGAGCCAAAGGGCTCAGACCACCATGTTCCACCCAAGCAGGTGACAAAAGTGCCCTGGGAGCCTACCGTACTCCCTGAGCTCACTTGAACCCCTGAGCAGTGATATGGGATGTGACAACTGTGGGTCTCCATGTGGTTCGGACGACCCCCACAGGCCGTCACCCAGAAGTGGGCCACACTCTGATGGCCGTGCTACAAACAAGACTAATGTACATGTTCCAGCAGAGGGCACCAAAGAAAGTTGCCCTCAGCTTTGGCCCGTTTCTCTTCTGAAAAACTGATTGCCTTCTTTTATTTCTTGGCTAAGTCTCTAGGCCCAGGACCCCTCTAGGCCTAGAGTATGGCTCCAATTTCCTTCATTTTCCACCCAACACAGGATTGAGACATCAGCATTAAGTTCAAGCTTCCCAGACAAGATGTAAGGGCCCCTGTAATTTAGATCCATTCCATATGCTTCGTTCTTCTCTCTCACTGCCCCCCAATACCAGATGTCACCTCAGTTTGCCTCTGGACAGTCCTGCCCCTGCACCTTTGCTTGTACTGACAGCCCCTAAAATGAGAGGCTGCTGAACAGTGAGTCTCACATTTATTAGCATTTCATCTTGAGCCAACTCTTTTTTAAGGCTTTGTTCTTCCTTAGGAAAATGGGGATACCACCTATGCTGCTGAACTGTAGTAAAACTATCATGCATTCAAGCCCTGCACTTGCTCCGTGCTTGGCAGGAGAGATAAGCACAACATCCAGTAAAGTCTTTTGCAAGAAAACTCTCCACTTCTTCTGCACCCATCCAAACCCTAGCTGTTCTTCAAGGTCTCAGGAGACTCCGCCTCCTCCAGGAATCCTCCCTGCTTCCCCTCCCATCTACTGTGCCCCATCTCTGAGCTCTTATGCCCCACTCATTTTTGTAACTGGTCCCTTTGTGTCTTATAGTAAAGGAAGATGTGGCTTCTATTCTAACTTGATTATTAATTCTTTAAGGCCAGGAACAGTATCTTCTACTTCTTTTTCATGCCCCATGGCCCAAACACATGACTATTTAGTCTCCAACCCAAATTGCATTGCTATTAACTTGAAACTCTCCCCAGAAGAATGAAGTGTTACCTGAACCTAGAGATTCAATAGCCACGTCTTCATCTGGGTCATTCACAAACACAGAAAAAGACCCACCATAGATTAGTTCTGAGGAAATCCCTAGTGTTTATAATTTTCCATCTGGGAATGTATCCACTTATCTTTAGCTTTGTTTATGGTCTTTAAGCCAATTCCATATTCATGATAAAGCAAGCCTTAGTGACTCATTTTTTAAAAAATAGTCATTAGAGCGGGATTTTCTCACAGGTTTTTGAAAGTCAAATTAAACTGGGTTCTGTGGGTCCCTCTTATCCATATGCTCATTTATCCGCTAAAGAACTCAAGGAGATTAGTGAGGCATGATTTCTCCTTCCTGACACCTCACCGCCTTCCTTCTAATAAGCCTTGTTTACTTAAGTGTTCAGTGATGCGGCTTTATTATACATTTGCTCAGTAAACATTAAATGCTTATGCCATGCAAACTTCTAGCAAACGGTCCCTTGTGATACAGAAATACTTCGGCAGATTAGTTTGATGCATTAAGTGAAGAGGAACTTAAATAATGTGTAGTTTCATTTTCCAACGGAAAGAGCCTATCTCTGCTTACAAATCCAGGCTTGAATGATGGGTGTCCCTGGATAGCCTGGTGGAGGATGACCTGGGTTTAGCTTCAAGATTTGACGAGAACTTGTCCCATGAGGGACAATGACTGGAGGTAGGGTGATACCACAGGGAACTCCCTGACATGTGTCAAAACTGAGCAAATATTTGAATTCCAAAATCACTGAATGAAATCCTCATTCTCCAGCTCCAGAACACTGGGCTGAACAAACTGGTCAGATCCAGGGTGGCACTTTTTATATCTCACTTTCCCATTCACATTGCTGGAGGCACGGGAGCCTGTGTAGTGACTGCACCATCTTGCCCTTTTCCCCACATGTACTCTCTGCATCTCTATGGACACCCCCAGGTCCTCCCCGAAATTGCTCTGCACTGGCACAACTACAGTTTACCCTTGAACACAAGTCTGTCTTCCTTAGTATTCTGTAGAGATTCAGTTGTCCCAACACCCCAGCACTTGGATTCTGTGATACTAGGGATTTAAACCAGGGCCTTCACATTGAGCTACATGGCCAACCCTTTCTTATTTTTTATTTTGAGCCAGGGTCTCTACATTACTAGGCTGTCCAGGCTGGGCTCAAACTTGTGACCCTCCTGCTTCAGGCTTTCAGAATGCGAGGATTACAGGTGTGTGTTACCATGCTTGACTCTGGATATTTTTCCTTAGATGTTTTAATTGTCTCCTCTTTGCTATAAGGTACTCAATAAAGTCCTAAGGGTGGCTTTTTTTTTTTTTTTTTTTTGTAATCTGGAAATTGGAGCAGAGTCCATGTGATGCAGCAGAAATGGCCACAAACAATGGTAGAACTTCTTATTCTTAGCTTTTTATCAAGGTCTGGAGTTGGGGAAGCCATGGAAAGGGTGATAAGAGGTAGGCTGGTTCTCACCTCATCTCTTTGCTCCACGTGGTTTGGGTGATGTGGAGATATACACATTGAACCACAAATCCTGCTGCCTTGGAGCTAGCAGTTCTGGTCCAAGATGGTACCATGGAGTTTGGCCACAGTCATGCTAGCTCCCAGTTCCAATGCTTGGAGGTGGAGTTGAGGTGGAAGGAGTGGCAGTTGTATATGTGGGGCTGGGCTGAGTACCAGCCTTTGGGTCCTCATGAGCAACTCAGAAGTCA